TATCTTGTTTTATGTTAGCATTTATAGGTAGCCATGGACGCATGTGGAAACAGAGATGATATATATATGTAGGTAAGCAGATAATCAACAAATAGATTAATAGATAGATAGATAGATAGATAGATGACAGATAGATAGATAGATAGATAGATAGACAGACAGACAGATAGATAATCATATAAATAGATGAATAGATAGCTTGATAGATAGACCTGTCCAATTATCTACACATACATACAGGCAAATAGACACACACACATGCACTCAGGTATACACAAAATCAGTTTACAGTTTTAAATTGCGGAAGTATTGTACATACATCGATATGCACATCAAGTGAATGTTGACGTATTGGAAATATTGCCATCTACATATTTAAAGCGAGGCAGGAGAAGGAGGAGGGAGAGGCATATCCAAAATCGATGTCTTCTGCTCTAAACACAGTTGTAGCGGTTGGACAAATTACACACTTCCATTATTGATGTCTCTGGCTAGTAATTCAATGAGGAAAAAAAAAATGAATACTCATGGATAGACGGAATTCCATTCTGCTGCAACATGTGTTCTTTTATTTAGCTTCTTATTATTTCCATGGCTTGTGTCTAATGTTGAGGATAATACAATGATATGATTTTTTATTCTGTTCTTGTAGAAACTGTTGGAAAACTTTTCAAGTCATATAGATATACAGGCAGACATTGCTGACTTGAAATGATGTTAAGATTGCATATGATTGCATGTTACCTGGTTATAAATCATGGTTAAAATCAACAAAACCGACAGCTATGCAACTACCAGTGTTTTTGTATCATTATCATTAAACGGTTTTACCTGCATTTAATACCCGAACCAAAGAAACGAAATAGAGGAATAAACATTGTAAATCAAACTGATTTGAGCCCAACCCGATTCCAAATGGAGATAAATGAATATCTGGTCTAGAATGAATCCGTGGTTAATTTTAAACCATTAACAAAGAGGGGGATAGATGAGGAACCATTAAAGCAAACTATGAAAGAATAAAAGCGACGATAGAAACAGTGAACATAATTTGTTCATAGGGCAATCAGCTGGACAGTGTAAAATACATGTATACAATTTTCTCATTAAGCTAACTAAGCCTCTTTACCGACGGATTTAATCCATATATACATATATGATATCTATATCTATATCTATTTATCTTTCTAGCAAAGACGCAGATTATAAACGTATATATTGCATTTATAAGAATAAATTAGATATAGGATTTGCATGCATGACTATATCTTTATTCGTATCTATATTTACTTTACTATCTATATCTATCTATCTACCAATCTATTTATCTATTTATCTATTTATCTATTTATCTATCTCTCTATCTCTCTACTCTCTATCTATCTATCTATCTATCTATCTATCTATCTATCTATCTATCTATCTATCTATATATATATATATATAACAACTCTTCCTGACAAGAACTCGAACCCAAGTCACTCCGGGTATGAAACCGGAGGACCAGTACTAAACCAACCATGCCATACGACCCACTAAAAGGAGTGTACAACTAGGATCTCAGTAGATCCATAGACATTACCTATCTACCCATACTAGAGTAATGGTAGCGAAGTTTTACACACACTCCCCGTGGGCACCCGGAGTGACCTAGGTTCAAGTCCAGGTCAGGGAGGGTTCTTATTCATCGATATCAGAGCGGCATTGCATTATCCCATCTTTCACACACACACACACACACACATATATATATATATATATATATATATATATATATATATATATATATATATATATATATATATATATGTATATATATATATATATATATATATATATATATATATATATATATATATATATATATATATATATAAACACACACACACACACACACACACACACACACACACACTCACACACACACATATATATATATATATATACATATACATATACATATGAGTGTGTGTGTGTGTGTGTGTGTGTTTGCGTGTGTATATGTGTGTATACATATACCTAATGAATTTGTTTATTTCTCCGACTCTAAGATTCCCTATATTCCCTCCTAATTCGGCACAATGCACACATGAGGAATTCCCAGCCAAGTCGAATTAAATTAGACGCTCCATTGTGATTCATTGAAGCAGAAGGATAACCAGCTTTTAAAGCCTGTGTTGAATGGCATGGTGACGTAGCGGCTATTGTCACGTCACTATCAGCGTGACCGGTACTAGTGTTTGTTTGTTTGTTCTGTCTGTTTGTACACAGGCATGCATAAAAATTATGAAGATGAAAAGACAGATATACATATGTATGTATATTTATATCCATGCAGATACAGAGATACATACGTATACATACGTACACATACTGTACACATACACCAATATGCACATAAACATACAAAAAAAAACAAAAACGCATATACATTCACACACCCACACACACACAGCACACACACACACACACACACACACACACACACACACACACACACACACACACACACACACACACACACACACACACACACACACACACACACACACACGTACACACACACAACACACGACCACGCGTATATATCTATACGTGTGTTCGTATCTAGTGAGATGTGAACCAAAGCTGATCAAAGTGTCCTCATAAAATTTTAGTATTTCAAAATAGCATGATAAAATTTTAGTCAGGCTCCAGAGATGAGGTTCTACGAAATCATGTCCAGGGATCTCTTTTATCTGTATTCTGTCTGTCTATCTATCTATCAGTCTGTTTGTCTTCCTGTCTAATTATCTGTTTCTCCTTCTCCCGCTATCCCTCTCTCTGTCTCTTTCTGCCTGTCTTTCTATCTGTCTGTCTGTCCGTCTGTTTGTCTGTCTGTCTCTCACTCTCTCCCTCCCTTCCTTTCCCTCTTTCTGTTTATCTGTTTATCTTGTCCATCTATCTTTGTATCTTATTCTATGTATCTATTCATCTATATGTATTTCAGTCTATGTGTGCGTGTATACATCTATATGCGTTACTATATGCATTCATATACATGAATAAATAAATTAATAAGCAAACAAACAAACAAATAAATAGATAAATTTATGTATATATACATACAGACACACACACACACACACACACACACACACACATATATATATATATATATATATATATATATATATATATATATATATAGATAGATAGATAGATATAAAGAAAGATAGATATAGATATATATGTATGTGTTTGTGTGTGTGTGTGTGTGTTATTGTGTGTGTGTGTGTGTTATTGTGTGTGTGTGTATGTATTTATTCATATGCACATGGGCCATTATATCTGTACAAACACGCAATGTTCGACGAGAGAAAAAAAACAAAAAACAAAAAAACAGAACCTCGTGCAATATGAATCCTGCGCTTGCCTCGCACATTCTCTAGGAATGAATGAAGGACTTTAGTACATGAAGGACCTTCGCAATTCCCTCTGGAACGCTCTTTGTGCCTCTGTAATTTCTCTGTGACGAATTTCCTTTGTGTTTCCAAAAGACCATTGTCCAATCTGACATTATCTCCCTGCAGAAAAAAGACGATTGAATTTTCTTCTTCTTCTTTTCTTCTTTATTTTTTATTTATTTATTTATTATTTTATTTTTTTGAGGAGGGTTGACAAATCTCCTAGAATGTCTCGGATTCCAAAAGAGACACAGATACAATGGCAAGTATTTAAGGGAAGTAGCTGAGCTGTCTTTCATATAGAAGCAATTTTCGTCTTGTATTGTAATCAGAAAAAGATACTCGATTGGTAGAGGGAAGGAGATGAAATGCATCAAAGGCACATAGATGCTTACATAGATACGCACACGGACATTTACAAACACACACACACACACATATTCTCGTTCAATTCCCCCCCCACACACACACGCATACACACACACACCCACACACACACACACCCACACACACACACACCCACACACACCCCCCCACACACACACACATAAAAAAAAAAGCACAGAATATCTCAGGTTTATTGCTGTGACAGCGGTCTCGTATCTGATGCCCGGACCACCTATTCTGTAAAATGGGCTTTGCGCTGATTAGTTTTAAAACTCTCTCTCCGATTTTTTTTTCTTTCCTTTTTTCTCTCTCTTTTTTTTTTAATATGCACACAGCGCGGACATTCCAGTTCGACGTAATTGTCACAAGGTTTAAATTTCTTTTTCTTTTTCTTTATTTACTTGTATTTACTTGTTTATTTATTTGTTTATAATTTCAAGCACTTCGTGGATTGACAGTCAGGATTATCGGTTTGTTAATGAATTCAAAATGGAAATCAAGGTCACATTTAATGTATTCAGGTTTATTGGTTAACTTTTTTTTCTTTGTGGATTTTCGTTGGCACTTTCTCTCTCCGTGTTTGGGACATTTTTGAAACTAAAATTTGTTATGGAAAATATTAGTAAAATAAAAAGAAAAGAAAAGAAAAAGGAAAACGAAAACTTTAGGAAATGAGTTTGATGGTTTCAGCGTTAATTCAATTCTCATTTGATTGTCTCATTAGTAAGACCATCTGTAGAATATGAAAAAGGGGAAAGGATGGAGATGAATGATTTTTTTTTAAAGACAAAGGAATGTGTATGTCTGTCACATACACACACACACACACACACACACACACACACACACACACACACACACACACACACACACACACACACACACACACACACACACATACACACACACACACACACACACAGATACACACACACATGCACTGTATATACTGTATACAGCAATATCAACGCATATAAACGCATAGATATATTCAAGAGGAGAGTTCACTCAGAAATAACCAATAGAAATGTGTTCCCATTGGGATAAAATTCATCACTTTTTTAAAAATATCGTAACTGCTTTCATCAACAGCAATACTTCTGCAGTTGATACGCCGGTGTTTTACGCATGAAAACCCTCTCGTGTTGTTTCTCTAAATTAACAAACCGATTAGCTTGGGCTGATCCTCCCGTAACCTTTGACCTGCGATGTGAGATATGATTCTTCAGTGTTAAATAAAAATACTCAAATATCTTCTAATTCTTCGTTTGCTTTCGTGTTTACAAGCATCATCGCTTATACTCATTCTGAAAATATAGAGTCATTCTAACTGCATATATCATTCTAACATGAAGCATATTTACGATTTTTATTTATCAACTATTGCTATCTCTCTTTTATCAACAATGCTCATCTTGGGTTTCAGTCGAGCACAGCCTTTCGATAACAACTTCGTGTCATCTCCAATTCAGGCAGATGAGCAAAGTTAGGACTAGAATGGAAATCGGGTGTCAATAAAACAGTTTACAGGGACATTCTAGACCCGGAGTTATGATAGCCACCGGCCCTTGATTGCAACGCAGCCCTGAGAGCTTAAATACCCTTGCAACGAAAGGGACGAAGGGCATCGTGCATACTGGCGCGATTTACGATTCACTCTTTCAAGCTGGGTCTCGGGCACGAATGCACTTGATGGGACTGTTTCTCTCTGTCTGTTTGTCTGTTTTTCTCTCTCTGTTTTTTTGTCTGTTTTTCTCTTCCCCTCTCTCTCTCTCTCTCTCTCTCTCTCTCTCTCTCTCTCTCTCTCTCTCTCTCTCTCTCTCTCTCTCTCTCTCTCTCTCTCTCTCTCTCTCTCTCTCTCCCTCTCTCTCTCCCCCTCACTTCCTGCTACGAAAAATGCCCCATTTCGCGTAGCAGGAAGTGAAGACAATACGATAGTTAAGAAGTTGAAGTTTTAAGTCGAGTCCAAACCTGGAATAATGCAAGGAAATGTTTATTCTGGTTGTGCCTGCCGCGTTCGACAGGGAAGAATTGTTCGGTGATCTGGTCTTCCGTATGCATGAGTCGTGTGGGAAATACAAATTTCGGTGTGGATGCATGACCGCCTGATGGGTGTACATCAAACGTGTTTTATGGATCTCCGCTGGGTAGTTATGGTAGTATATTTATCCTGAAGATATATATATGTATATTTTTTCCGTTCCTTTTTTTTGTTGTTGTTGTTGTTTCCTATCTCTCTTTCTCTCTTTTATTCTCTCGATTTTTTCGTTTCTTTTCATCTGATGAATCCTGTTTGTAACGCGGGGATTCGCTCAGAAATATTGGACTTATCTGAACGCAACCATTTTTCCGAAAGAATTTTGTCAATTTTCCAGCTGCAGGACAAGACGAAATTGGGAAACAAATTGAAATTCTTTCAATCGACCCAGGCAAATATTTGTTTTGCATTTCACTACGTAGAAGAAGCAGCCTACGCGGGAGCAACAGATTGGATTTTGTCTCTAGTATGTCGTGAGATAAAGACGTATAATCTATCAAAGAAATACTGCGAATACCGAAGGAGAAGAAGAAGGAGGAGGAGAAGAATCATAAAAAAAAAAAAAAAAATGAAAATAAAAAATATCATGAACATTTCAAGGAAGAATCCTTATGTAAGTTTTTTTTTCTCTCTCTCCCCCCCCTCCCCACTTTTCTCCCTCGTCCACTTGCCCTCTTACCCCCCCCTAATTTCTCTACATCACCCCACCCCTCTCCCTTCCCTCCTCCCCTCCCCTTCCACTCTCCCCCTCCTACCTCTTTATCTTACCCTTTCCCTTCCCCCCTCCCCTTCCCACTTTCCCCTCCCCTTCTACTCTCCCCTTTACCTCCCCCCCCTTTATCTCTTCCCTTCCACTTCTCCCACTCCCCCCTCCCAACTTCTTCTTTTTCACCCTACCCCTTTCCTTTCCCTCCTCCCCTCCCCCACTTTTTCTCTCCAATCCCACTCCCCCCTCCCTTCTCTTCCCCCCTTACCTCCTATCTATCACCCCGCCCCTCTCCCTTCAATCCTCCCTTCCCCACTCATCCTTCCTCTCCACTCCCCCCCCATACCTCCTCTCCTTCACCCCAACCCTCTCTCCCCTCTCCCTTCCTCCTCCCTCCCCCCCCATATCTCCTCTCCTTCACCCCAACCCTCTCCCTTCCCTCCTCCCCTCCCCCCCCCATATCTCCTCTCCTTCACCCCAACCCTCTCCCTTCCCTCTCCCCCCCCACCTATACCTCCTCTCCTTTACCCCCTCCCCCCCCAGCACCCACCCCAACACCAAGTCTCCGAGACGCGACCTTACCTCGTCCTCAGGAAGCAAAGACCCGGCCTGCTTTAACACGGGCGGTCCGGTAGTACGAGAAAAGCTGACGAATGAATGTAAACAAAGGGGGAAATCCAGTGTCAGGGAATGTGTACGGAAGTGTTGGACATTCGGAGGGTCATGTGCGTAAGCGAAAAAGACATAGATTTTGTCCTGGACTTGTTCTGTTTTTAGCTTCACGCTCGAGTTTGGTGTTTGGTAAAGGTTCCTCGCGCGTTCACAGTTGGAGCTGCAAAGGAATAGTTTTTTTTTATCATGTTTATATACTTTCTTTCTGGCTGTGTTGGTCTCTTGCTTGTGATATATATATATATATATAT